TCTATTTTATTACAAGACTCTGTCAAGAAGTGGGAGATGTTCAGTGCTGGTTTCATGGAAATGACAGGTTAAGAACAACAACCAGAACAACTGAGACTCTGAACTGTATTTAATATTCTTTGTTATGTTTTCATTCATCAAAAGATAGTCGCTGTCAGCTCCCAGGCTAGAAACCGCTGGACCGTTTTTTTGTTGAACAAGCATCACAACATCCTGAACCTTTAATAGCAAAGAGGAACCTTAGTAGCAGAGTTGAATTTAAAATCCTTCTGACATATTGTAGCCACATTTTATTCACAACAGAAGACAGAAAACATCCAATGATCAAACCAGTGTAAGAAAAATATTAGCTCATTTTCAATTTAAGGGTGGCAACATATATCTGCAAAGTTGGGTTGGGTTGACCATCGGGATTGTCATCATCACTCAGTCCAAAAGGCTGCATGCCTGATGATATGACAGCACATTAGTTTCTATGGAATTGGCACCTTGCACATCTGAAAAGGGTCCGTGAGTGCTGAAAGGAACATACAGGTTTTATTTTTTATATGCAATGATAAGTCAAAAACAGATGGCTGTCCACTCTAAGCCTGGTTCTGCTTGAGGCTTCCCTGTTCAAAGGGATTTCTTTGTTCTCACCATCGCCAAGAGTTTGATCACAGGGGATCGTCTGATTGTCAGGGGTTTCTAAATGGAGTCATTCTTATTCTACGCGAGCACTCAAACATGCCTTTCTCACACCCACAAGCACGTTTTTCTATCTGACATTCGCACTGATAGATATACCAGAGAGCACCTTGGGGTCAGTATCTTGCTCAGTGATATTTGATATGCCCAGTGGTGCAGCCAGGGATCGAACCACCAACCTTCTTATTAGTAGATGACCCGCTCTGCCTCCAGAGCGAAAGCCACCTTCCTTTCTAATATTGTCAGGTCTTCAACTTCTAATGTCAAGGGCCGGAACCGGTCCGTGAGTCGTTTGGTACCGGGCCACGAGAGTTGAGGCTGGGCTGTGAAATTTATGGTTTTCTGGGTTTTTATCGTTAACTCGGTTTCCCTGGGTCTTTTCCTGTATTGTAGTTGTGCGTCTTATTTTTAAAGAGATATTTACGCGTTACCATAGTGACCAGAGATCATTAAGGGGCAGACAGGAGGATGTTACTCTCAATGTTGTTGCAGCATTTCAGGAGGACGCTGCTAATAAAGTTACACAATTACACAGTGAATTCGTGTTTATTATTGTATTTATAAAATACAACAGTTTTTGTCTTGGTTGTATCATTTTATTTTGATGTATTTATCCGCGACACCTTAAAGGCTGGTCCATGAAAATACTGTCTGACGTTATACCGGTCCGTGGCAGAAAAAAGGTTGGGGACCGCTGCTCTATATCACTGTGAATTGGTACCACATTAACTGAAGTGAACTGAGCTGATCTGCACAGAGAGCACACAGAGTGATATGTTATGTTAGATGGGTTTAGGGGGGTCTATAATACAAGAGTAAAATTTATACTTTGAAGATATTGTGAGAGAGAGAGTGTGTGTGTGTGTGTGTGTGAGAGAGAGAGAGTGTGTTAAAAGATGCTTGTCTGATTCTACTGTGGCTGGCAAGAGCCTTTCTAGAACAGTAATTACAGACAATCGTGTCCCTGGAAGATGATCCAGGAGTGCACACACACAAACACACACACAAGCGCTTGCCAAAAGACAACACCCAGGACTCCTCTTCTAAATGCACCTGAGAATAGAGTAACTCTTAACACACACACACACACACACACCCTAGCACCTGAGTACGCTCACGTGCCAGCAAAAGGCCACAGCACCGTCTGTTCCCGCCACATAGACTCAGTCTCTCTCTTTCTCTTTCACACACATACACACACACACTTGAACACACACACAGACTAATTGTCTGTTAAGTTTCTTCTCCAAATTTGCTATAAACACATATGATGGAAGAATCTGTTAACAAGATTCACAGTGACACCACATCTATAGGCCTTTATACAGTAGCCCTGAGAGGCCAAACAGACTGCAACTAAGGAAAACACCAGCAATAACAAAAATGCTGCAAAAGCACACAAAACACAATGGAAATAGGAAAAATGGAAATGGAAATAGGAAAAAAGAAAACAAAAAGAGGAAAAAACTGATTTCCAATGCTGGGAGACACTTAAAAGAAGTGGAGGATCTGTCGGATTTGTGAGGAAAGATGAGAGATAAGTGTGTTAGCCTAAAAATCCGTAATAAGTATTCTATGAATCGTGCGATTAAAACACACTTACCTAGCATGTTTTGATTCCTGCATCTGGTCCGTCGGGTTATTGTCTCCGCAGAAACACTTCCCTTGTGCTTTTGGAAATCTGTTTTTTCCTATTTCCGTTTTTCCTATTTCTGTTTTCTTTTTTCCTATTTCCGTTTTCGTTTTTCTCTTAAGTTGTTCTCTGAAGTTGCAGTCCATTTGGCCTCTCAGGGTCACCGTACCTTTACACACCTTACACGTAAAATGTGGGTAAATATTTTGGGTCCTCAAAATATTTTTCTGACCCACCTATTCTTAATTCACACTGACTGTGTAATTTAGAAAACATTTATTTCTTTGAATCAACCTCAATTGACCAACCTCAATCTGAATAAACACATATGACCAGTCAGACCACTACATTTGGCAGTGCGCTAGTAGCTCAAAACGTGCACAGTACTGAATATACGATGTTATGGAAATAGTAAAATAATACTATTTTACCTCAAACACAGCTAAATGCTGCTCTGATTCAACTGGTTCTCTGAAATATTTCTCTGCCTTCTCTGACGTGGTCCCAACTCTGTCCACAGCAGTTCAAACTGTCCCACTGACATCCTAGAAAACGTACACATGCGATCATAATACAGCTTCAGCTCCTGGATCAAAGCATGAAATTCTTCCTGCTGCTCAATTGTTTAGAAACTAGAGTTGGACGTCTCGAGGCCGCACTTTTACGTGGTCTTGGTCTCATCTTGGTCTCGACGGACTTTTGTCTTGGTCTTGTCTTGGTCTCGACGGACTTTGGTCTCGGTCTTGTCTTGGTCTCGCTGTCTCGGTCTTACTGTCTTGGCTCAACATAGTGGTCGGGAGATTTGGAGTCAACAGTATCCATGACACACAACGTAATGTTCGATAATGTATCATGCGCAAAAGCTTTAGCTCTAAGAGCCGTGCTTAGATAGTGCTTTGTAGTGAATCAGAATAGTCGACTCCCATTAAGCGAGAGCCGGCTCCTCCCTTAATTTCCTTTCTCTGCTCAGCTCTCACACAGCGACACACAGAGGCTCAGCTATGCTCAAATCCCTCCACATTGTGGCATCTTATTATTTTGCCTTTCGCGCCCTTCAAACACAACTAAATGCAACCCGTTAGATTGAGCAGTATGCCCGGTCAGTAAGTTACAGAAATGTCAGCGACTTCGTCTGTCATAAA